CAGAAAAAATATAACCCTTTAATCGAGTAATTTTACTGCGATTTGCTGCTTTAAGGAAGAGAAAGGTGATACAAGATACGAAAATGAGATATCTGCGCGTAATTTCATTAAACGAAAGAAGCGGAAAGTTCTCACTGAAACTAAAACAACTATTTAATCATAATTCGGTACGAAAGCATTAATAAAGGGAATGGAAAAATAGTATACATGCATTCATATACATTTTTCTCTCTGATTTCAGTAATTAATTACATGAAGCTCATGCATGAGGGAAAGTACTCAAAAACATTGACCACTAGGTTATCCTAAGGTTCGATTTCTGGAACAACGAGTTGAATGTTTATTTATTTATTCTGTGTGTGTGTTTTCATTTTAGCGAAATATTCCAGTTTCCATTAAAAGTGGGCCAAGAACGCAACTATCCTCAAGTAAATAACATTCGTCGTTTTTTATCGTGAATTCATTAGAGATTGAGAGGTTAAAGCTAAGAACGCTTTTACGTCCAGAGTTCATTTCCCTGCTGATTACGAGCACGCTGGATGGTTTTTCTCTATTCTAAAGGTAAAAAGAGAAAATTTCGATTAGAAAGTTCTCCAAGAAGGTATTCTTTTATTAAGCAGACATCCCTCGAGTTAAAGGCTCATATTTTGGAAAAAATTTACTGTTATTTTTGGAGACAGTTGGTGTATGTAAAAACTCTCTGAAACTTGATAAGTTCCTAGCGCAATTGTATTTTGTCCCCAATCATATAATTTTTTCCCCAATCCTACAGAGGTCCTCAATCCTATTTTCGTTGGGCATCACTTGCCACTGGGCCAATCTGTGGCCCAATGGCAAGTGTTTACAGTGATGTCAAACTAAAATAGGATTGGACATAACTGTTTGAATTACGATAAAACACGCAAGGACTAATTGCCTAGGGAATGTAGGAGGCCTTTGGGAAGCGACTTTCTAAAGGAAACTGATATTCAAGTTACACATAGAGAAAACCACGGAAACTGCAGCCCTTTCTCCGGGTCTAACTACCAGTGTTCAGTGATTTTACCGTTCGATATTTAATGGACCCAATTAAAATATATCTTGGAAATGTACGACGTTATTCATAAATGGAAATAGTTATCAACGCTTGTAGAAAACGAGAATGAAACGCATACTTGGTCAGATTACGCAACCAGTGTAAAAGCCAGCTAAAACAGAAATTAAGAAGTTTTCCATTTTCACTTTTCTTACTTTAATTTTTTATTTTATTTATAACTTAATTTCCTATTTTTCTTATTCTAGTGTTGCCAATAATTTTTATTATTTTAATTTCCTTTTTTCCCCTTCTTTTGAATTCTCTTCTTATTTTTCTTATTTTATTTTAATTTTATTAACATTTTTGTATTTTATTCGTACTTAATTTTAAATTAGTCTCTACGTCATTTGATACATACTTCCTACGACAAATTAATTTTCAGATTTATTTTATATCTGTATTTAAATACATATAAATCTTTGTTTTGAATTTCTTCTAATGACTATTTTAAAATTAATATACACTGATTTGTAATAACAATATGCAGCTGAAGAAACTATATTTTCACTGAGAGGAAAATATTTCACTTCCCTGTTATTACTTAGCAGCATTTCTCGTTTTGCTCAAGGCTAGGAAAGGGCTCTCTTTCTGCCTTTTGCCACATTCCTTGCTATAGCCATTACTTCGTTAAAACACCCGTCAACAGCATCAGTGATGTCGGCGCAAATTGTAGTGTCACGGACCGGTTTGGGAAAAAATAGAGCGGACCTTAGAAGCGCACAGGTTTTTCTTCTTTGATTCGGTAATGTGTATTATCCCTTAACTGTTCGCTAACGAAGATATTTTAATATTGCTTTAGGATTCTAGAAGAGCGTGGATCTCAAAAACATCGCAGAGTCTTTGATGACTTAAAAGGAATGACCAGAAATTCGGATTCTCTGTATAATGAAGTTTAAGTTTCTTTCCTTTTCTTCTTTTTTACCCTTCTCCCCTTCTTAACTCTTTATATAGGAAATAAAGATTTTCATTCTTCCTTGAGAAGCAAAAATCGCTTCATAAATATTTGCTTCAATTTTTTTATGTGTAAATTCAAATCTGTCTATGCACATACAAATATGATTCCTCTTAGGAATTGTTTTGTCTTGAAACCTAAGTTAAATATAGTTCAATTATTTTTATTTATCAATTTATTTATTTTTATTTATTTTATTTTATTTAATTATTTTTATTTATTCAATTTATTTATTTATTGTTTGTAAGTTTTCGCACAATTAAGTATTTTAGTAAATTTTTTTAATAAATTTGTTCTTACTGACGTTCCTCTTCGACTAGAATTTTGGAAGATTAATATTTATTGTCTGGAATATATTTATTCCCTCCCCCCGTTTGTTAATAAGAATTTTTTTGTGTACTCATTTTTATAAACGTGTACCTGTTATTAACCTATGTAAGCTACTTTACGTCATTTTTTTCATACATTCGTTTTCACTGTTGGCAATATGGTACTCTCATGCGAAATTTGAACGAGAATGTTGCAGAGGATGGAATATGAGAGTCTCGTTCACTTACCAACAGTTACTCGAGATGACTTGCAGATCAACGGATTTTAAGCTCCTCCACACCCTAAAGCCATTATCGTCCCAGACATCATGCCTTATTATTCGATATTTAGGTCCAATCTCATCCATCGCTTCGCAGTCAGCTGAGGCTGACTATAACTGTGATATTTATCAATTTGTTTTATAATACACTTTCAGTAAAATTTAATTACGTTCATACATCCACATACGTACATATTTTGTCCAGCTTACAGGATGGTAAGCAGCTCAAAGAAGAAAGCTTCGGAATCCTTTTAGGATGTATGTACGCAGTAAGCAACTCATAATATAAGAAACTGTTGCATTAAATTTCATAAATATTATGAAGAAGTTTTTTTTTTTTTTTTCCTTTGGATAATTATTAAAATGGTTTAAAGAAAAGGGATAGTAGATAACGTTTTTTAGGAAAATATACGACCTGTTACGAATGTATATAAACTACTTACTTTAGTGCCCTTAGAATAATTATTTCTAAGAAATGTTGTCTTATGCTGCTCTCAGAATAATACTTTCTAAGAAAGTTTGTCTTTGTATGATATGGCTCAGCAGCAGCCAAACGGCAAGATCGGCGAACATTAAAAATTTGGCCTGGGTTCACTTTCCAACGGAAAGCTTGGCTGCTTCCCTGAATGTAACGTATATACGAGCCAGTTTCCTCCACGAAGGCATTTCTTTCTTTACGCAGATAGCATTCGAGTGTTTTGCCCTACTCCAAATAATCCCTAATCCAACCAAATAGCTCTAATCCCCCCATTTCTTTGTGACATGAGAAGAGAATTATATAATCGTGCATACAACCTGTTTTGTCGGTGTTAATTTGCGTCGCTAATAAGCAGTCAGTATTTTAATGATTTTGGGCATATGAAGTGCTATGTAGAATGAAAAGAAAGGTTAGGTTAAGTTAGGTACTTTGTACAGCCAAGAAGGTTGTCTGTCTAAGAGAATGAGATGCCTTCTTGGAGGACTTTTTGAGAGAAAACTTCCTCGTATTCACGTTATATATACGGGAAAAATACAAAAAACAACCATGCTGCTAGCACGTTTGCCTAATATTCGGACCCAAAACTATGTCGAACCAGAAAGAAAAAGGAAGAAGTACAGAACGCGAAACGCACGTTTTTATATATGTTAATTTCCATGCATTATGAGGTTTTCTAGGGTCTAAAGACAGACAACAAAGAAAAGTTATGTTACTCTGAAGTCAGATTTTTGTGTTCAAGCCTATAAGAAGAGTTAAAATTTGTTTGAAAGGGGCTTTTTTTAGGGGGGGGGATGTACTTTGAGGGTCCGGTTCGAATCCCAGCATTGCTGTGGATATGTATCTTCGAATTTATTCGTGTCTGTAAAGCTTTTCTTATGACGCTTGGTTTGTTTTCTTACTTGCAAAGCACTTGAGAGCTGTCTGCTTAAGGGAAAGGATGCCTTCGTGGAGGAGTTTCTAAGAAAAACTGTCTTGTATCCCCGTTACACATCGGAAAAACCACGAAAGCGCCCATGCAGCTACACCATTCGGCGGAATTTGAGCCGGGTCGAAATACCAGTTTTCAGTGACTTTGCCGCTGGTGAGCTTGTTTCGTATGGAAGAGACAGACGTAAAACCAAATTAGTCATCTGACGAATATTAAATCTATATAGTAAACACCAGCCAGTTGGATTTCTACTTCATTTAATACCTTTCCTTATGCTGTTTGGGACATGGGAATGACTAAAACTTAAACCAGATCTCTTGAGATTAAGAAGTAGGAAAATATATGTTGCCAATTATAATTGTGTTATTTTTTTAGAAGTGCTATATTTAATGCCATTTTCTGAAAAGTTTTTAAATTAAAGTTACAGTAGTGCCAGACGAAGATTTTTCAAACCCGTGCAGAAAGCATCTCCAGAGCCCTTTAATTTAGCCTTAGGACTAATTAACAGCTAATTTAAATTAATTATGTACACATTTCTTTCCCTATTAAGCTTTGCGCGTAGAGTGGCCTTTTGTATGACCCACTTCTAAATTCGGCGCGGACTACAGTTTTGCAATGTGTGGAAAAAGGCTTCCTCTGAATTAAATATTGGTAATTAAATTATGTTAATTTTAATTAAATTGAATACAAATTACTTAATCGATTAAATACTGATCTCTGTCAGTTTCTAAGAACGAAATATTGAAATTTCCTTCCCTGATGTCTTTATGTTGTAAACTAAAATACTAATATTTAATTTGCCTTATTTTTATTCTTCTAGTGAAAAAAGGAAAGAATTACTACGCTTATCTTATAAAGAAGGAAACGCATTAGATTCTGATTACGAAACAAAAAAAAAAAAAAAAAAGCTCCGAACTGAGTAGCCGATCAAACTTGAAAATGCATCGTTATTGTAGTTACCGATAGTATCAATGATACACGTGGTGTTGTTTAGCAGCAAGTAAAGAAAAGGCACATCCCAACTGAACTCGACGCATGCGCAGTAGAGCCGGTGTTGAGAGGTGAAAACAGTGAAAGATGGTTACGGTGGGTCGTGTGTGAAGCAAAAAACTTCTGGACTGTCTGGGAAATAACATCCCATGTAATACCCAGTTTGTAAATACCCTGATGGCCGAACCAAAGCGGATACAATTAGAAGCACCTAAGTCACTACACCGAGAGAAAAAAGTGAAAGAAGTGCCTCCAACCTACCGTTTTGAGTTAAAGCTTTCCGACAAGAACACCGAATCTGCGGAGTTTTCATATGCGGAGCTGGTGAAGGAAGCTCGGGTAAGTTAATGCAGGCGATCGGTGTTTTCTGAACTACTCTTCATTGGTTAGCCCTAAATGCGGTAAGGCTGTATCATGCTTTGTTGCTGCGTATTGTGATATTGCATTCCGTTTGATTAAAATGAAGTTTATTAAGATGGCTTCTAACTTAGTATGTAGGTCTTACAAAAAACTTGTAATTGGTGATATTTACCAGCTTTTATTGATTTCTTGGGAATATATTAAAAAAATTTCACGCTCGAAATGCTGATGAAAAAAGCCTAGAATGACCTCGACTAATAAAATGGTCGCCATATTTGGAAGGATGCAGGGACACGGGTTGGGCAAATGCTGAGTAGTTTGGATTAGTGAAATGTAGAATAGCGGGTGGGAAAAAATTAATTTGCACCTAATGAAATATAATTGCAATTTATCTATCGGTAGTATAAGCAACCAATGAAGACCTAAATAAATAAATATATATTTATTTTTTAGTCACCTTTAAACCAGAATATTGAGAAGTTTCCTTTTATTTTTCGCTTGGTTTCCAGGTTTATCGTAATAATGTTCTTGTACGGGTATTTATATATACACATATAATTTTCCTAAGACTTTTATTATTTAGTGTTCTCCCTCCTTGGATTCTCAATCGTTTAAGACGGTTTTTAACGCTAAATTTATGTATTTTTAATTTCAGTTTAAAGCATTGTCAGATATTTTATGCCATTGTTTACATTATTAACCGCTTGAGCATAAGTGTTTTGTGAATAATCTTATGTGCATGTTCAGTTCGTAATTTTTTTATCACGTGCGCCTACTGTATCCAATTTAAATTAAGTACTCTGTGTTCCGTAAAACAATTTAAGCCTTATGCATGAAAATGTCATGCTTTTTGCATTTATGGCTGTTTCACGTCGTGAATAAGAAAAGTATGCACTATTTTCAACACAGATGTTCTAAAAGCTTTTCTAATGTAATGGATTTAGGCTTATGGAACATCGGGGGAAGGGACTCTTTTCGAGACACTGAATTTGAAAGACTCCAACACGAGTATTTACGGAGGAGGGGGGAGAGACACATTGACTCTTTTCGAGGCACTGAATTTGTGTTGGAGTATTTACGGAGGAGGGGGGAGAGACACGATTTTGTTGTTGTCTGAGTGCAATATTAGAAGGATAATCGTATAAATATATTGCTAATGCTATTTTTATCGTATCTTGTTTAGTATGGTGGAAAATTGCCGCGCTTCGAATTATGAAACCAAGTGTTAACCGCTAGGGGTACTAAAGCATTAGGGGAATAGAATAAATATTAAGTTATCAGTATCAAAGAAACAGAGCGTGTTTAGGGAAATTCCAAAATTTTATTTGTAAAATCTAGTTTGTTTAAAGCACTGTTGGCGAAGTATAAGTACGATTTGGCGATATTTCATGCCACTAAGAGTCACGTGATGGGAAGCTGATCAAGGTAGAGATGTCACACGTACAAATAAATATTTCTTTTATTTTAGAAAGAAAGTTCATGAAAAAAATTACATAGGGCTTTTCACATAGGAAAACGATGAAAGAAATAAAAGTTTTAGAAGTTAAGACATGTTATTAATTTCTATATGATGAATACATGTGTTTTCTTATATAAAAGTAAAAAGGCAAAATAGTTGCCATTGCAAGTTCAAGTGAAATTGCTGGTTACCTTAGAGAAAATGAATAATTAAAAATGCTTTAATTTGAATAATTAACTGTATGTATGTAATGATGAAACATACTTAAATCGTTTTAAACAGTTCTTTCAGGAAATTAGATGGGAAAGTAAATGAATTTAATGTGCTTATAATTAATATTAGAAGCATCAATATTTTATACTGAGTTTTAAAATCAGTATTTATTGGGTAGGGGGATAAAAAGCAAGAAGAGCCTTTTCATCAAATTATCTTGCTTAAATAAAAATATAAGAAATTTCTTTGTCTTTCCTTAATGTCCTGTTTGAAAAGGAAATGCACATGGAATCAGCACATCAATAGGGAAGGCACATACATCTTATTGTGATTCTAAGCCCCATATTGACGTTAATGAAAAAGCATATAACCTTTAAGTATAGAGGTTCATTTTCTGTTGCGTAAACATAGAGGAAGGGTCTCTCAGACCACGCTCTATTTTATGCATTTTAAAAATAAAAAAAATTTAAATAATGTGTTATTATAGAAGCATTAATACACTTTGCTTGTTATACTGAAGTAATTAATTATTTTTAAAACTTTAAAATTAATGCATTAAAAATTAATTTTTAACTCTTTCATGGAAAAGTATGTAACGCTTAATCAAATAAAATAAACACTACTTACTTGCAAATGCATATAAACTAAACTATTTAATAAATGTTCCATCTGCAGAACCTGCATTATATAAAATAATGCAAAAAAGCATAATATATAAAGAATATTAAAAAACTGCAGCACATTATTTTAAGCATTTTCAACACAATGTTTAGCAAATTCTCTTGTCACGTTCATTACATGTTGGATTCTTGCAGCTGAAACATAGATAGGTAATTTTTCTTCTTAGTCTAGGAAGACAAAGAAAACATATTACATTTTTTAAGGGTATCAGTTATATCTGGGTTAGAATAGATTCTGCTGGAAACTCCTAGCCCTCTCTGAATGCTTATTTTTTGAAGCCTCTGTTCCATATGTGGTTTCATTAATTCTGATAACTCTATCAAAAAAATCAGTTTTTTTCCATGATAACATGTGCATTAATTCCACTTACATCAAATAACCTAAAGAATATGGCCATTGCCTTGTTCTTCGACTTGTAGAATGTTTAGAACATTTTTCATCCAATGCATCTACACCTCCTTTAGTCAAATTGTAAAATGTTATTATTTCTGGTTTCCCAGTTTCAAGGTCTTTTGATTTCGAATGATGCTTTGAAGAAATGAGAATAACAATTTTTAATTTTGGAGGCACATATAAAACGAGAGTCATTCTATCTGTGAATGCATAAAGGGAAGGTCTTTCACTTTTCGTTTTATTTGGAAAAAATTCACTTCGTATTTCTCTCTTATTTTTTTAATAGTACTAACATATGTCAAACATTTTAGAGTCGAGTTCTTTTACAAGTTCAACACTCAAGTAGTGATAAAACCATCTCTCCTCATGCGAGAGAAAAGTAACGTGAACACAGAGGTGAGGTCTGTATGACCGCGGCCCAATTTTTAAAAATTATTAAAAAAAAACTGACGGATAGAGTTTAAAAAAAAAATTTAGGAATAGTTATATTGAATGTCAACTTGAAAGTACTGAAAAGAAATAGAATAACTATAAAACTTATAAACAGCTTCGCAGTTCCAAAAATATTGGCGCGGTTGTAGAGACCCCACCTCTGTGTTTAACCCTTTTGGTGCACGGTGCTCGCGCCCTGAAACCACCAATTTTCAAATTTTTTACCTCCTCTTCTTTCCGAAATTTTTGAGTGAAAATCAATTGATTACTGATCTTTTACTTCTACATAACACAAAATGACTGCAGAATCATACATGTTTTAGGTCTTAGTACTTCAAATCGGATGTCTTTTAAAATTTGTTTTCAATGAAACAAAATAACTTCCTTTTATTAATATAAACAACTTTAAATTAAAAAAGTTATTCATCGCACATCATGATTTCTATCATAAACAATAAAAAATAGCAATAATTAAGCTGCATATATAAAGAAAACCCTCTATATGTATGGCATTTGCTTTGTGGCATTTGCTTTGTCGACCACTGCACCACTAGAGCATTGTGTCCCAACATGGGGCCCACACCCCACAGGGGGCACTTAGATTGTTAAAGGGGGCAATTCGAAAATGGACTGTTCCACAGTTTAAGGTGACAAGGAATGTTCAAATTTTCTTCAAGATGTCAAAATTTTTCAAAATTTCATTTTTTATTCCCAAAAGTAAAAAACAATGTAAGTGATATATACGTAAAATGTTTTTAAATTGATGTGCATTTTAAATATGGTATAAAGAATTTTTGCTGCAGAGATTTAAATCCTTAGAAATTTCTCCCTAAAACTTATCATTCAAGTTTCTTTCGTAAACATTTCGATTTTTGTATATTAAAAATTATGTATTTGGTAAGGGGAGCAAAGGAATTTTAGAGAGGATTAGGTGAGGCAATAGCACAAAAAAGGTTGGGAAACGCTGCTCTAGAGGCTCCGTGGTCGTGTCTTTACAATGGCGTTTGCTTCCTTCTCAGATAGGAATGTTTACTTTTACCCAGATATAGATAAGGGGTTTTGAAACCACAGAGTTATTTTATTACTAAACAATACATGCACTTGCCCAGTAAAAAGGTCTTTTTTTTCCAGAGATTTTTCTCTGACCTCAGTCCACTTGCTCCCCAAGCAAGTATTGAGATTTTATAAATTATTTCCTGTGGTTTAAATTTAATGTAATATACTTTGCTATAATTAAAAAAGAAATCTCATAAAGTTTTATTTAAATTTAAAATATTTTGGGACGAAATGCGAATAAAATAAATATGAATGGGAAACAAATGATCCGTGCCAAAGCCAAAAAGGCCAAGCCCTCCTCCCCCCATTAACATAAAAAACCACAAATTTCATGTGCCAGCTGAAAAGAAACTAAATTACGCTGAACATATAACAGTGAAATAAGATCCAAGCAGTGTACATTTTGTAGAAGGAAGAAACCTTCATAGAAGGTAAAACATGCTTTGAACAGTGTCACAAAAAAATTTGTTCTTTGATATTAAAAATTAAAAAAAAATTGACCTTTTTTTTATCCTTATTTTACCGAGTTTTTTTAATCCATTTAGCCAAACGTCCTTATTATGTAGATATTTTCACTGCTATAGAAAAATTACATAAATGTTTATTTTAAAATTTTTCTTGACGATTTACTTTGTAAAATAGTGTAAAAAATTATATTTAATGCAATTCTTACATAGATTTTTTTTAAATTCATAAATTTCATCATTTATTGGAAACATGCTCTGAGAAAGGTAAATTTTTTTTT